TAATCTATACAACAAAAGAGATTATCAACATTAAAATGGCCTATCAGCTCTAAATTATCATAAATAAGTGTTAAATATCGACATTAAAATACTCCAGTAAGTAAGATAGCTTAATCATCTATATAACAATTTAAAAACTAACCCAAAAATCCCCCATTATAGAAAAAGATATCTATGATTCTTTTCTGTACAATTAAGATCTCTCTATAAACCTAAATCCAAGTTCAAAAGCTATATTGTCATCAGTCATTGAAAGAACAGAAGACAACCAATAAAAAGTGATTTTCGAATCCCTGAATTCAAAATCCGAACTCAACTTTCATAATGATCCAATGAAATGGAATTGATGTAGAGAAGAACAAAATCTCCAACTTGGTTTACAGTGCCAATTGGTAGTCAGAATTCTAAAAGTAGCAATTGTAATATAAGACTACAATTTTCATCATCCATTGTCCATGAATAACAAATCAAAGACCCTGTTCTTGTCGAATATCAAGACCAGCCCCATGTCCCTAATCATAAACATGAGTTTCAGCAGAACAAAAATATAATCACAAGAATCCAAACTGATTTCAGATATAAAAATTCAAACTCTAACCAAAACAATGCATTAACAAACAATCTTGAATTGCTTCAATCCACTAAGAAATATTCAATGATTTCTAAGCATGATAAAGAACAAATTAAAAAAACATTAAAATGTTTAGCCATCTCTTCAATGTCTCAAAATCAACTCAAATAAAACATGGGTGCATTACCAAACCCCTCAATCTAATTACACAAACCCAAGGATGAAGCCATAAACAAATGGAAAAATGTATCAGATTTTACAGAAAAGTTTCATAATTCAACCTCGTTAAAGAACACATTTTTATCACATATTAAGTACTCAACAAGCTCTAAATCCAAAAACAACAACTGCAATTCCCATTAAACATGATCAGAAACAACAAAAAGTTTCAAAAAATTTTTGAAAAATGATAAATCTACCAACTTGGTTACTAGAGGAAAACTTACAATTTGAGCCTTCTTTTCCTTCTCCCAGCCATGGTTAGCAGAAAACTGAAGATTTTGCTGGCTTCTGTGTTACCGCTCAAGGAGTTATATGACAGAGAAGAAGCAGAAAAGGTAATAATGCTTTAGGAGGAAATCAATTGAATGTGTGCCATGTAATATACAGATGTTTAGTTGACTTATATGAACAAAAGAGCGATGAGTGAAGATTTATAATGTGACTAGAATAAACCCTTCAGAAAATTGGAATGAATCGAGATATGAAAATAATATGTAAAACATGGAATGAATTGAGACACGAAAATAATATAGAAAATAATTAAAACACAACAAAAAGAATATTACAACATTAGTATGCGAATGTTCAAAAAATGTATAAAATTAAATGGTGGTTAGGTGAATAAAAAAGTTATGACTGTTGTAGACGGTTCATCCTTTTGATTCGGATAGAAAATCATAATTGATGGTTAGGTGGTGGTTAACCAAAGTTTAGATCATCAATTTCAGTAAGCGGAGAAGAGGATGAAGTGGAAAAATGGTTCCAGATCATTCTCTCACACTTGGCTAATAGGTTTTATAGTGAGCCTTAGTATTGGTGTTAGGTGTAGGATCATAATGACTACTTATAAGTTGACAGGCTCAATGGATACGACCAACTGACAATTGATTTTTGCTCTAATAGGTCATATGGCTCTATCAGAGATCATAGCAAGAGGTTGTGACTTTCCGAGGGGTGCAAAGCACCTAAGATACTATGTCTGGAGATGTTCTCCCATAGCTTCCACTATAGAGGAGTTATTAAGAGGTCTTAATGTGCAATTATTGATCTTGCGGAGGAGATACATAGATGTTACAAAAATTGTCCCTCGTATTCAAGGGAATGCCATAAAATGACTTGACCCGAGATTTATTTGTGGAAGCATTACTTGCATTTAATGGGTCGTTTTTGGAGAATCGTCGTAATGATTGTTTTTAAAATGGTTGAAGGCGGATGTCGTGAGCTTAACTATGTGGAAGCCACTAAGGTGCTTAGCAAAGCTGTCAATCTGATGATCAGAGTTGTGGAACACTTTCGGTCAGCGAAGGAACAACTTGGTTTTACCTTCACGAAGGCCTCTCTAGGGGTGGTAGTGAGTAAAAGGAGGTAGTTGTAGCTAAGGAGGTCGAACTGTAGGTCATCAATGCTATGATTGTGGTGTTGAGAGTATGGTTAGAAGATTTGAAGCGAGAGCTGATAATTAGTCGAAGCGAGGCTTAGGAAAGTAGGGAAGCTCGGGGGAAGTTGCAAAGACTAGAAAGCAGGTGGCAGAGGCCCAGAGAGATGTGGCAGAGGATCGTGAGGAAGTCAGCTCAGTTAAAAGGATGTTTGTAGAGAAGGAAAAGACCTTTCAAGATGATATGTCAGGGCTACGATGCCAGAAGGAAGCATTTATACAGAGGTTCTCTGGTTGCTTTCTGAGAAGGTTGATATGGAGAAATTATCCCATCATATGGTAGGAAAGCTCTAGGAGTTTAAAGACTATGGAGGTAAGTTTGAGCACAATCTAGTTTGCACAATTTAAACCATCCTTGGTCAAAGTAGGGCCTTCGTTGTTGTTGGAAAATTTCCCAGAGGGAGCCGTTGTTTGATCCCTACAATCCCTCTAGGGAAGTTTGAGAAAATTTTAAAGTTGGTGCAAAATTTTATTTCCTACGTGCAATCGACACGGGTGAGACTTCTAATTTAAGTACGGATGTTGCTCTAAAAAATGACCTCATTCTCATTTCTAAGATAGCTCTGAGTGAAGCAGTTGCTGGCTCGAATATTCATGTTGATAATCCTCCAATTTAACTTTTCTATAATAGGGGCTAAGGTCTTGTTTATTACCCAATATCAATAAAAATCTTGTTTGTCCTTTATCTTTGTTTTTTTAGCATGTTTCGAAAATCTTTATTATCATCGCTTATACTTGTATTTTATAGAGGATTTTCAGTGTTTGCAATTTTTTGACGAGGATTCACCTAAGTTTGCAACTTCTTTAGGGACTCATTATTTTAATTTTTCCAAAATTAAATCGGACAGAGTTATCTTCGAGCTCGTATGCATTACTTACAGAGGATTCTCAACGCTTGCTGAGGGTAATATTTTTATCTCGACACTTTGTGGAAGGCAAAAGTAGGTTCCCATGGCCTTAATGAAAGTATATCAATTTTTTTGGCCAATAAAAATGCAGCAGCGCAATCTCTTGAGTACTGAGTTTTAAAAGGCGCGAGGCGCTCCAAGGCGAGTAGCTACTCGAGAGCCTCAATTTTTGAGGCGAGGGATTCACGTACGCAAGACGCTTTATTTTACAAAACATTTGTAAATATTTTATAACCATACCTCAAACACAAAACAACTTAATAAGCAAAAACACCATGTAGATATGTTATATTGTATCTCAAAAAGACAAATAAAAAACATCATCAATAATCAAAATGCCTAAAACTCATCACCGTCATCAACATCAATCCCAAGCACCTCCTCCCCCATCATCTTCGAAAAGTCCAATATCCTATTCTATCTCTTCATCAATCAAATTTCCTCTATCTCTTGATGTAGATGTTCTAGTGGAATAAGTAGCTTGAGATGCCCCGGAAGCTTTATCAACAGCAGACCATGTTAAATCATCTCCATCAAAGACAAAGTCGTCCTCCTCACCATATTCATCGTCCATGTGACCCATCAACCACTCGTTACTTTCATCTATTTCCTTCAAAAGAATATGTGGTGTCCTTTCTTTGATATCTCCGTCGCAAAGCACGATTAAACTTGACATACACCATGTCATTTAAACGACTTTGTGCCAATCTATTTCTCCTTTTTGAATGAAGTTGTTGAAAAACGCTCCAGGTCCTCTCGCAACCCGTAGCACTACAAGTTAGGCTAAGAACTCGGATTACAAATTTCTGTAACTCTGGTGCTGAGGCTCCATATGCAAACCACCAATCCGCTATTAACATATAAAATAAATCAAGATTTAATTTTGTGAGGTATGATATATATAATATACATATATGCGTCTGTGTGTGTTTTACCTGTAGCACTTTTCTTTCTTTGTCTTACAGCCATCGGATTGCCGAAAAGACCTTGGGCATTTTGATACAAGTCCAATTGTTCCCCAATCTTATATTGAGTGCTCAAATCAGGTACCAGCCTTTGAATGCAAGCATACAACCCGTTCATAACCTCTGCACACATTGCATTATTCGGATTCTCGTAATACATTTACAGATTTAAAAAAACCCGGCTGCATGCAATGGCCTATGAAGTTGGCAATCCCACCTTGCATCAATATACTCAAAAGCTTTCTTATAGTGTTCTTCTTTGTGTAAGAAACTAAAAGCGATAGTCTCTTTAGCCCTATCCACGGACTCATAGATATATCCCATGGTCGACTTTTTGTCTCCATCTACCATTTTCAATACCTTGACAAGAGGTCTTGTCAACTTCAAAGCATACACTATATTTCTCCAAAAGCGTTCTTGCAAAATAATTGATGTTAGTCTCTTCCCAGCAGGATCTTTTGACCACTTGGTATTGTTCCATTCTGGAGACGTGATCATCTTTCGCAAATTATTTTTTTTCTCATACATCTGAGCGAGAGTGTTAAAAAAACAATTTGCGAAATATGATCACGTCTCTAGAATGGAACAATACCAAGTGGTCAAAGGATCCTGCTGGGAAGAGACTAACATCAATTATTTTGCAAGAACGCTTTTGGAGAAATATAGTGTATGCTTTGAAGTTGACAGAACCTCTTGTCAAGATATTGAGAATAGTAGATGGAGACAAAAAGTCGGCCATGTGATATATCTATGAGTTCATGGATAGGGCTAAAGAGACTATCGCTCTTAGTTTCTTACACAAAGAACATTATAAGAAAGCTTTTAAGTATATTGATGCAAGGTGGGATTGCCAACTTAATGGGTCATTGCATGCAGTCGGGTTTTTTTTAAATCCAAAAATGTATTACGAGAATCCGGAAAATGCAATGTGTGAAAAGGTTATGAACGGGTTGTATGCTTGCATTCAAAGGCTGGTACCTGATTTGAGCACTCAAGTTAAGATTAGAGAACAATTAGACTTGTATCAAAATGCCCAAGCTCTTTTTGGCAATTCGATGGCTGTAAAACAAAGAAAGGAAAGAGCTCCAGGTAAAACACACACAGAGACACATATATGTATATTATATATATATATATCATACCTCAAAAAACTAAATCTTGATTTATTTTATATGTTAATAGCGGATTGATGGTTTGCATATGGAGCCTCAGCACCGGAGTTACAGAAATTTGCAATCCGAGTTCTTAGCCTAACTTATAGTGCTACGGGTTGCGAGAAGAACTGGAGCGTTTTTCAACACCTTCATTCAAAAAGGAGAAATAGATTGGCACAAAGTCGTTTAAATAACATGGTTTATGTCAAGTTTAATCGTGCTTTGCGACGGAGATATCAAAGAAAGGACACCATAGATCCTATTCTTTTGAAGGAAATAGATGAAAGCAACGAGTGGTTGATGGGCCATATGGACGATGAAGATGGTGAGGACGACTTTGTCTTTGATGGAGATGATTTAACATGGTCTACTGTTGTTAAAGCTTCCGAGGCATCTCAAGCTACTTATTCTACTAGAAGAACATCTACATCAAGAGATAGAGGAAATTTGATTGATGAAGACGATGAAGAGATAGAACAGACTATTGGACTTTCTGAAGATGATGAGGAGAAGGAGGTGCTTGGGATTGATGTTGATGACGATGATGATGAAGATGAGTTTTAGGCATTTGGATTATTGATGATGTTTTTAATTTGTCTTTTTGAGATATAATATGACTTATGCTACTTGGTGTTTTTGCTTATTAAGTTAATTATTAAGTTGTTTTGTGTTTGAGGTATGGTTATAAAATATTTACAAATGTTTTTGTAAAATTAAGCGTCTCGCGTACGTCTCGCCTCAAAGCGCCTCAAAAAATGAGGCTCTCGGGTAGCTAATCGCCTTGGAGTGCCTCGCCTTTTAAAACATAGATCTAAAGTGTAGACATATTTTTCTTATCTCTAATGTAGGAAGTTCCTTCTCATCTAACCCTAAGGCAAAGATGAAAGGCTGACTAAAGATTCCACATAGACAAGTCCTTAGTTTGAAAAACTGATGGGGAGACTACTTATGAATCTATTGGATACACAAAAATTATTGGAATTACTTGTGTAGCTTACCCATTCGTTAATGGTATCAATGGTGTTGCAATGTTATCGTAGTGATAAACAACAATGGCAACAATATCCATCGCTTCTTTGGGGACTAGCTTGGTAGATTTATCTAGTTGCTTATCTGCGATGATGGTGATGCTTGATGGAGGCGCGAGCTAGCCTTTCTGTAGAGGTATCAAAATACATATCTTGTGGATTCTTCATATCATGCTTGGACAAAACAGAAGATATTGTCTATAAATAAAAGTACGCCTTGTTCATGAATATCTAAATTATATTTCGTCGTAGTTAGGATATTTAACCCAACTTTTATATGAGCTCCTAGACATTCATTCATTTGATCATGGACTAAATACATTTTTGATTATGCAATATTTTGTTTATTAATTAAAATTTAGTTATTTTAAAGATCATTTCCTTTATGAATTCTTTCACATGCTTGATCAAATACAGATATAACCCCCAGGAGCTTTCACACTGTTGTTGATTAATTTCAGGATGAGTATTATTTTACCTACATTAACCTTCCTAAATAGTCTAATTCTCCTTCCATAATGATAAGGAGCTAAAAGAGTTGAGTACTTTAATTTCTTTTTCAAAAACATATAATTTTGTATCCAGTTATATGAAAGCGATCACAAATTTATGAACAGGGAAAAAATAAAAACACTAGCAAATAAAAAGCAATCTATTTTATATGGTTCCTCTACCTACGCTGAAAATCAATAAAAAAAATAGATAACAAATAAGTAAAATATGAGAAACTTATAAGTTTGAAATATACGACGATAAGATATAAAATTAGAAAATTTACCTGATTATTGAAGAATCGAAGCTGAAAAATGAGAATAGCATATAAAATATTAGGCGAAAGTCAAAAGAGAAAATGAGAAGAACAATTGAACCTTACCGACGAGAGTAAAGTGTGAAGTGGCTGCCGTCTTCCTAAAAAAAATTAAGAGTTTCTTTAGGGTTAAATATAAACTTAAAATATCAATATTTTATCATATTTATAATTTGGACATTTTTATAATCATTCCAGGTTACGTTACCCAAAACATTCGCTAACTTGAACGCAATCCTATCATTTTGGATTGGGTTGAAACCCATTAGTCCTATATTTTTTTTCTCATCTCTAGATTTGAGGGAAGACTAGTTTATACAAAGCGGTTCAATATCAATTGCCCACAAGCCTCTAGTAGTTCATTCATTTAATTGTATAAAAATTTCACTTTTGATTCCACAACAACAACGAACTAGAAGAGTGACTACTTTAATTCCTATTTCAAAAATAGACAATCTGTTGTCTAAGTGTATAATGTCATAGCTGCTTGTGATGATTTCATGCAAAAAGAACTGAGGTTTAATAATTTGAAAGAATGTAGATTGAAGAAGGATGAAATTTCATTCAATTCAAAGATAAGATCCTTATACATCAAAATTTATGTTATATTTGGCCAATTAAAAATTATAACAAATTATTCTATAAAGTTGTGCATGTGTACCTTTGTTCTTTCTCGGTATTGGGCTAATTGTTTTTAGGCCTGTTGAGTCTGGGGTTCATTGTTTGTAGCTCAGTTTACCCTACCCATTCGCCTAGATTCCTCATAACCCATTCCAATTATTCCCGTTCAATCCCTAATTTCCCAATTCCAATCTATAAGTTTTCAATCATTCTCTCTCTAGGAGTGTTCAAAAATATTCGACTCGAATGATTCGGCTTATTGACCCGCTAATCCAGTCTAAAATTAACCTGTATTTATACTAAAATTACATGAATTTTTGGGTAGGATGCCCGGCCCGCTATTTTTGACTGGTTTTCCGGTCGGACTTTGTTCATAAAATAATGCTTAATCGGGTTTTCCAGATCTCCGTTTACCAGCTACAAAAAGGAAGATATCATGGTGGGTCAACCCACCGATGACCAGTGGACAGCGTCTCAGCAACAGCAGGAGGCTTCCTTACTCCACACCATTCGCGACGGAAAGGAGCGACCCAGCTTCGCAAGCGAATAAGCAACTGAGTTCAATGTTCGGCGAAGAAAATGAAAAGCTCTCAAAGTTCCTTTGCATTCCACATATATGTTGAACAATCGGGCTAATATGAGACATATCAGGCTTCCTAGAGGTCATTTTGTTGATGACAATCTGAGAGTCTCCTTCAATGATGGCTCGACGAAAACCCAACTCACAGGTGAGGGCAACCACCTGTTCGCATGCTTGAGCCTCAGCTATCTCAGGATTGGGGATGAAATCATGCGGACATGTCCATGAAGCCATAACAAGCCCCTCCGAATTTCTGATTATTATACCTGAAACAGAAGATCTAGAAGCCAAATGAAATCCAGCATCAAAATTAGTCTTAACTGTATCTGCGGGAGGGGAGTCCAACATCCAGCGGGTTCACGAGGTAACACACCCTGGTTGAGAGCACTAGCATCAACTTTAATAATATAACTCGAACGAAACCAGCAAGCTCAGCTGGAGATTGTACATAATTCTCATGAAGTCTCCTGTTTCTACAATGCCATAAAGCCCAGAGAGTTATAACAAAAACTTTGCACTGGTCCTTAGAGAAATTAGATAACCATTGCAACCATTGTTGCTCCGCAGGTACCACAGAAAGATCCAGGCGAAGATCAACAAAGACCTGCTAGGAAAATTGACATTCGCGAACAAGGTGAGCAACATTCTCGGACTCAGTAGCACACAATTTACACAGGGGAGAAACATTTATCCGCCGTTGAAGAAGATTAACAGCTGTAGGGAGGAAATTTTTACAGAAATGCCAGCAAGTAACCTTCACTTTGGGCTGTATGGGAAGCGACCATATCGATCCATATACCCGAGAGAGAGAGAGATTTGTGCAGTACTGGGTACTCCAGTAGACGACCTAATATCACCAATTAGTTGTCTATACCCACTTTTGACTGAGTACATGCCTGAGTTATCAAGACCCCAAAACAAAGAATCCGGTTGAGCAAAATCTGGAAGAGGAATGCACAGGATATTGTCGGCTTGATCCGCCGGAAAGAGAGCCCGGATAGTAGACACCTTCCAGGTATTCGACTGCACATTTATAAGATCAGAAACTTTTGTATAATGAATATTTATGTCATCAACCTGAACTCGACCATTTGCTGAAGTTGGAATCCAACTATCATTCCAGATATTAATTGAGGAGCTACATCCTACTCTTCAATCAATTCCTTGCTCTAAGAGGCCACAAGTACACCAAATGCTGCGCCAAGTACAAGATGGGTAAGAGCCTAACCCTGCTGCCATAAACGTTGAACCAGGAAAATAGCGCGCCCCTTTAATGTTGAAAGTCCAACTTTCGGTGGAAAAGTTAGAAAATAATAATAATAATTCCACCGAAAATTTGATTGAAATAGTAGCTGGAAATTATTGAATTTTTGAAAAATGGTAAAATCATTTTTAGTCATTGTAATTTAATGTATTTACAAATTAGTCCTTAAGCTTCTACTATAAATACCTTAGCTCATTTAGCTTCAAAATCATCCCAAAGAATTCTAGTTTTCTTCCAATACTAGAGAGAATTTAGAGAGTTTCTTTAGAGTTTTTCTCCTATTTATCAAGAGAGAATTATCATTGTTTTCTCCTTGGTAGATCGAGAGAGGTTGTAATTCTTATTTTCTCATAGTGAAATTCTTCTACCGTTGCCCGTGGTTTTTACCATATATTATTTAGGGGTTTTCTACGTAAATTTTGTGTCTCTTTTATCTTCATTTTTATTTTCCTCAAATTACCAGTTGCGATTTTGCTCTATCCGATAGCTGTCTTCCGCAACAATTGGTATCCGAGACAGATTTGAGAGTGTAATATTTGCTTATTGTCTTTGTGGTTGCCACCAAAAGGTGGATCCTCCAACATAAGAAAGTAAGAAGTTATTACTCATTCTTTGAAGGTTCAGAGAACTATTCACGATAGTGAAATAGTGGAAGCTATCCGTAAAAAAAGTTATGACAACGAAATTTGATATTGAAAAATTCAATGGGAGAAATTTCTCATTGTGGAAATTGAAGATGAAGATCATCCTGAGGAAAGACAGTTGTCTAACAGCTATCAGTGAAAGGCCGGTGGATTTCACAGATGACAACAAATGGATCGAAATGGAGGAATGCTATGGTAAACTTTCATCTAGCATTAACAGATGAACAGAACCTTGTTAGAAAGAACAAGAGCAATGTTGAGGGATGCAGGCCTAGAAAAATCATTCTGGACAGAAATAGTCAATACCGCCTATTATTTGGTGAATCGAGCTCCATCAACTGCAATAGAGCTGAAGACACCAATGGAGATGTGGACTGGTAAACCAGCTGATTATTCAAACCTCCATGTATTTGAAAATATTGTGTACGTGATGTACAACTCCCAAGAAATTTCAAATTTGGATCCAAAATTCAAGAAATACAAATTCTTGGGGTATGCTGATGGAGTAAAAGGGTATTGTTTGTAGGATCCCACTGCCCGCAAAGTGATCATCAGCAGAGATGTTATCTTTGTAGAAGATAAACTACAAAGAAAAGAAGACGATGATAGCGCTGAAAAGTCAGAGACTACTCAGATACATGTGGAAAAAGAATTTGAACAAGAAGATTCTTCTGAAGCATAACTAGCACATGATGAACAAGAACCAGAGAGTTCTGAAGCTCCAACAACTCGCCAATCAGATCGTGTGAGAAGACGTCCCAATTGGCACTCAGATTATGTTATAGAAGGTAATATTGCTTGTTACCTTTTAACAGAGGACGATGAGCCATCAACATACCAGGAGGCAATAAACAGCTCAGATGCTTCACTGTGGATGATGGCGGTGCAAGAAGAAATTGAAACCCTTCATAAAAATAATACATGAGACTTTGTGCCACTAACACAAGGAAGGAAGCCAATTGGTAACAAATGTGTCTTCAAAATCAAACGAAATGGTGACGATCAAATTGAGAGGTATCGTGCAAGACTGGTGGTCAAATGATATGCTCAAAAAGAAGGTATTGATTTCAATGAAATATTTTCTCCTGTGGTTCGACTAACAACAGTTCGAGTAGTTTTGGCAATGTGTGCTACAATGAACTTACATCTAGAGCAGCTAGATGTTAAAACAACTTTTCTTCATGGAAATCTTGAAGAAGAGATTTATATGCTCCAGCCTGAAGGTTTTGAAGAAAAAGAAAAGAAGAACTTGGTTTGCAAGTTGAACAAATCTCTGTACGGTCTAAAGCAGGCGCCGAGGTGTTGGTATAAGAGATTTGATTCCTTTATTATGTGCCTTGGATACAACAGACTTAATGCAGACCCTTGTGCTTATTTCAAGAGGTCTGGTGATAACGATTTTGTTATATTGTTGTTGTATGTGGATGACATGTTGGTTGCAGTATCCAACAAAGATCATATTGAAGAATTGAAGGCACAACTGGATAGGGAATTTGAAATGAAGGACTTGGGATCAGCAAACAAGATTCTATGGATGCAAATACACCGAGACAGAAGTAATAGGAATATTTGGCTTTCACAAAAGAATTACTTGAAGAATATCTTGTCACGATTCAACATGCAAGATTGTAAGTCAATTTCTACCCCTCTTCCTATTAACTTCAAATTATCCTCCAGTATGAGTCCTAGCAGTGAAGAAGAGAGGATGAAGATGTCTCGAGTACCGTATACATCAGCAGTGGAAAGTTTAATGTTCGCTATGATATGCACAAGACCAGACATTGCACAAGCAGTGGGAGTGGTTAGTCAGTACATGACGAATCCAGGCAAAGAGCATTGGAATACAGTAAAGAGTATCCTGAGATACATCAAAGGGACCTCAAATATTACATTATGTTACGGAGGATCAAACTTACTAATCAATGAGTATGTAGATTCTGACTATGCAAGCGATTTGGATAAAACCAAATCAACTACAGGATAT